TGGCTTAATCTTTGAGACAAGCATATGACTACTGGCAGGATCAACCAGGTAGCTATATTGAGCTTAGCTAAATCGATAGATGCAAGATGAGATCATCCCGCATAAATCAATTTTGGCCAAGTATGCGTTGATGGTTCACCAATTGCTCGGATCTCCATTAGCATTTATAGTTCGGCGTGATTAGATTATCACTTCCGGCATATCATACCTCGAGATGCATATAAAATATGCGGGACGAGATGGTCTATACCGGATTCATTTTACCGCATCTTTAATCCTCCTCATTTTGGATGAAAAAAAAAAAATTTTTTTTCACACCAAAAACGTCAATGCAAATTATATTCACGGCAATAATTATAATTACTTAAAACATCACAATGATACTTTATTTGCAACTGATTTGAGGTAAGAATAACCATCGGTTATTAAATACACAACGTTTACTTATAAATATCATCAACAAAGGCAATTAAAACCTTTTGATTAAAAAAAAAATACAATATTCGTCAGGTATTAGAAACTGGATTCATGAACCCAACTCACATTAATAACGAATAACTAGTTGTCAACTGATTTTTTTAAAAAAAAAAGCCTTATCCGAGAAATACAAAATTTCTCTTGTTGATGGATAATGACTGAACGTAAAAGAGAAGCACCAAATTTTTTCAAATTTGCTTTTTTTCACCTCTTTTTTACACTTTTGATAATTAATTTATTTACAAATTGGCTTTATTTCATCCTTGTATGATCTTCATTTACGATCTCTCTCGTAATCTTTGATCAATCATTGGTGCTTCTTGTCGGATAAATAATTACCAGGTTTGTTGACGGTTGCCTGACCTCTTATCCAATAAAACACAATGTCACCTTGCAAAAACCCTTGAATTTTGATGATGAAATTTTGTATTCAAATTTCTCTTCTAATAGAAATTTACCGATAATTAACCTTTGCCTATAAATGCTCTTGAATCATCAAGTTAATATCTTCGTCTATTTCTAAAAGGATTTTTGAATAAAATTAATTTTGTGCATTATTTCCTTTAAATTTGCGTGACCGATGCGATAATTTTTCAAGTTCGGAAAGGAAAATTCATCATTTACCTGCAAGTATGTCTAATAAATTTCACCACCCTTTCTTGGAAGAAAGTAGTTCAAACGCCGCACCCTTATATATCAGATAATAAACAATTAAATCCTTTTCTACTCTTCCACTCTTCCGTTTACCCTCCATTCTGTATTTTGTTCGATCAATTTCCCAGTTGTGCTCTCAAACAGACGTGTTCTGAAAATGGATTTCATATTTAGCATAAAAAACTCTTTACAGTCTTTCAGATATATTAAACACATACCTTTTGTAAGTTTAATGAAAACTAACGAATATAAACCAATCTGAGAACTAATTCGAAAAACGTTTTGGCAGCATAACTCGGTAAAGTATATTACCGCTCGCTCGTGTAAGTTGAAATGCGATCGCCTTGAAGTCTGGTATGTGGCGAGTATATATACTGCTATAGAACGCATAAGCTGATTTCGTTTAAAGGTTTTATTTGCTAATACTTTATTCCGTTAAAATTTTTAGTTACGGAGATTTAGTAGAAGTTTGAAAATTAAAACGGCCGAACTGACTTGGCCGACAAGAGATATTTGAAGTTTAAAAGGAAAGAAATACAAAAGTATTAAATATAAGTTATAAGTTTATCTGCTACTTTAGGTTAGTAGTAACGTCGGAGTATAAATATTACATTATTTATTTATACACGCTACAGTTTCTGATATCATATATATACTTACTCATGTTTCACTACCAAGATTCGCATAGCTTCCTTTCCCAAAAAAGACTATTAATAATTTAATATTAACGAGTTGACAATTCAATACTATTTTTTACCGTTTATAATTCCACACCTTATAATTATTATTATACATAAAACTCTCAACCTGGATCTCACAGCGCCTTCTAGTTCCCACTCTCAGTTTCTCCATATCTTTAGGTTCTTTTTTTTGAATTTGCCGCTTATTTATTCTTTTCTTTTTGTTAGAAATGTTTCCTGCATATTGAAATTGGCGTCATTGCCCCAAATATGAAATATCAATCTCCATTGATTTTTAAGCTATTTTAGTGATTTAATTAATTATAATCCTTTCTCCCACATTTTTTTTTATGATGATACGTTTTCTAGATTTGATGAAGTCAATAAAAAAATATTATCATAAAAAAATTTTTAAAAATCTTTAGAATTAGAAGCTTTATTTTTAAAATCACTATAGTTTACATAATAAAATATGCATACTTCACATATTTATTAAAAAAAGATATGCCAAATTCTTAATATATAAATTTTATATTTTATGCTAATAAAACCTGATTTTTATATATAACTGGATTAATAAAAGTGAAAAGTTAGAGTTTATGAATCCATAATAAAATTGTAAATTAATAAGTAATTGTCATTTATTAAAGAACAAAAATAAAAAGAACTATAACAATAAAATAAATAATCTTCTAATAAAAAAGTAAATTTATTTGGATTTAAAGTTTTATTTCGAATATATAATATAAAAATGCTTAAATTTAAATAAAATTATTAGCAATATTTAATAAATTATCATATAATTAAATTATCAATAAAATATTATATATATAAATCATTATTAAGATATTAAAAGTATTTTAAAACTAATTAGTTAAATAAATATTAAATTTTTTAATAATATCATATAATCCTTGCAAATTGTAACAGTTAAATAAATATTAAAGATTGATTCTTTTTAAGTTTAAATAGTATAATGCATGATTATACTAAATAAAATTTATACTAAAAGTTATATTTTATATATAATTATTTACTATTAAGAATAAGTTATATAAATTTGATATTTTAATAATAAATAGTTTATTGATAAAATATAAGAAAAATTAAGAAAAAATAATAAAAAGAAAATAAATAAATAAAAGAAAATATTAAATTAATAATAAATATGATTAATTAAGTATTATTTTATAGTTTAAATATACAAAAAAAAAATTATTAAAAGAAATTTATTAAAAAATTCTATCTTTTTACAAAAATAATTAAGTTTTATATATATATTTTTTCTTATAATAAATATAATTGTATAAAAGTTTTTATTGTAAATTTATAATATTGTATTATCAAAAAATTAAAATTTGTTTTAAAATAATCAAGACTTATTTCTTTTTAAAATAAATCTAATCATGCATAAGTACTTATTGTAAATTTATGCATTACATTATTATGTATTTTTAAAATAATCAAAATTTATTTTTTTGCAAAAATTTAATTATATAAAAATTCTTATTGTAAATCTATGTATTATATTATTAAAAAATCAAGATTTATTTCTTTTTATAAAAATTTATCAATTAAATAATTCTTTTTATTATATATTTTAAAATAATTTAGTTATTATTATCTAAGTATTAATTAGATAAACTGAAACATATAACTAATTAAACAATAATTGAGTTTAGCTCAAAACTCATATTTATATAGAAGAGTTTTTACTTAAAAATTTTTTGAAGATAGAAGAAAGATATCATATATTTTTTCTTAAATCTTATTTATTTCAGTATCTAATTACGATACTAGTTGTAATATATATATATTACAATCCAATTGCATTAAACTATTACCTAGTTATGAGTAAATTATTATCTAATTATGAGTATAATATTATCTAATTACTATTTGTAATATTCTGTGACCTTTTTATTGCTTTATTGTTATCCACTTGATTTTATTACTTTATAACCTTTTTATTGCTTTATAAATATATATTTGATTTTATTGCTCTGTTTTCTTTTTATTTTATTTCAGTTATCCACTTATTTTTATTGCTCCATGGCCTTTTTATGACTAAGATATTAAACTGATTTTAATTATAAAAAATCATGTTATGATCAGATGATGCAGTAATTTTACAGATCAGATTTTAGCTGACACTATACTATATTTTTGACCTAATCTTTAAGGTAGAATATCTTAGCTTTCTGTGATTAGATTTACATAATTTTATAGTTATTTAAAAAAAGGTATTGAGTTTTCCAATGATGCTAAGACTGCATAAATTAGATATTTAGATGCTGAGTTATTATATTTTAAAGTTTAGGCAAAAAATAAATTTTTTCAGAAAAATTTTTAGGGATCTTAACCAAAATTAAGCAAATTTATACTGCATTTTACTGTATTAGTCACATGATACTATTCTAATATTAGAATATTCTTACATAGCTGCTTTAAAATTATTTCTATTTCTTAATTGTCAGATAAGACATGAAGTACTGAATTTGCAATCTATTTATTTGCTAAAAATGTATTGCAATCTATTTACTCATTTTTTGATTGTCAGTTAAGCACATGCAAAGTGCTGATATTATACTATTCTTGTAATCTCATCTTTTGTGATCCTTTTAATTACTAAGAATAAGATACAAAGTGCTAAATCAGTAATCCTAAAATAATGTATTATTTTTATTAATTCTGTTTTTACAACATCTCTGGAATGAAGCAGATTAGTGATTCACTCAAGTATAATTTTTCTTTTTTCTTTTCTATATATAATTCTGCTTAAGTGAGTCACTAAAATTTTACATGTTTTTAGTTTTTAGATTTTGTCTCTTTGGATTGATGATCCACTCAAGTATAACTTTTTTCTCTCTAGATTGATGACTTATAATTTTTTCTCTTCAGATTGGTGACCCACTTAAGTATAACTTTTTTTTTCCAAATTGGATCACTATAATTTCACACATTTTTGACTTTTAAACTTTATTCTTACATAATTACTACATCAGAATATTATTGCATTACCTTTGATAATAATATTATTTAATATATTTATTACATATTCGTGCTAGTAATTAGATTAGAAATCAAATAAAGCTTTACATATTTTTATTATTATGTTTCATTTTTAGGTCATACATATTATATTTTTTATTTTGAACTTTGCAAATTTCTATGTAATTTTATATTAGTTTCTTGTATATACTTTTATGTTACTTATATAAAAAAATGCTAAGCCTAATTCTGATACAATAAATAAAGCAATTAGGTTTTTCTCTGGTTTAGCAAACCTTAATTATAAGTCTGATTATAATGATCATATATATTTCTAATGTTTATCTAATAATAAAAATGATATTTTTCTTTTAGATGCCTATTATTCTGAAAAGATTTTTGATTAGTCCAGAATGAAGTGTAGGATTATATATATACAGGATCTTAGGTTATACATATATCTGTCTCAATAATTAAGTCGATACTAATTAGCCTTTATAATTACACAAAAGTCTAAATAAAAGCAAATACTAGTAAATCATTATGAACTTAATAATGGTTCCTATTTCCTAGTAAATATATAATTTAATTTGTAAGAAAGGGTTTTACAGTAGTTGATCACTTGTCTGAAATCTATGAAATACCCAATGTTCATGAGTCTATTGATAGAAATTTACTTTTTCACTTAATTCTAAATATTAATGTGAAGCAAAAATCTGATCTCATAAATTCTGAACTCTTTTTCTTAGATGAATATAAAATTTCTTATAAAGATTTATTATCTAAAATCTTAATTACTTGTACTGATATTATATATTCTAATTTATATCATTTCATAATTTAAATACTTTTGCTTTAGCTAGTTCATCTAATGCTAATAAATATAGTTAGCATATTATTTATCCTTATGTCCATTTTATTGATTATAGAGACTTTGAGAGTTTTATGAAAAAAGTTACTGAGAAAGTTAGAAAACCATACTCAAAATTCATTGAAATAGATCTTTATAAATCATGCTTCAGTCTTTAACTTCTTGGATTAGCAAAAGAAGATAGAGTTAAAAGTCCTGCGATTTTTTTAATTGAGAAAGGATATTATAAGTTAAAAGATTATTTAGTTCATTCTAATCCAATTATTCTGAAGTCTGATCCTGAATCTTTTCTTCTGAGAAGCTAAAAAGAGAAGAGAAATTCCAGCTTATTGAAGATGAAACTGCTTTAAGCAAAGGAGCTAATCAAGTTAATGTAAAATATAAATAGCTTGAAATTAATAACATTAGAAAAGGATTTGTTAACTTTCAAGCGAAGTTATTAGAAGTATATCCTATTTGTAATATTAAATACAAAAGAGATCAGTTATATAGCTTTCTTTTAAAAGATAGATGATTTGTACTCAAATGCTATCAGCAAAAATAATATAAATCTGATTATAAAGGATTGGTATTTAAGAAAGTATCAGATAGTTGAAAGAAAAACTTAAACAAAAAATTGTTGATAAAATGGCTAATGTCATATCAAATTCATATTCATTTTCTGAACTCTTTAGAGAAGTTATTTAATGTAAAGGAAATAGAAGATTTTCTAGAAGTTTATCCCAATTTCTTGAGTAAAGAATTCAGTATAACTTTAATTCACTCTTCTATAATAACAAAAAAAAACAAAAAATTTAAAAAAACATATCAATTTCTTAGCTAAAAATAAAGTTAAATTATCTTGCATTATCTGGATTTCTTATCAAAAAACTCTTAGTAATGAATTGCAAGGCAAAATTAATGATCTTAAATCAACTAGACTTAGAATCTGTAATTATCAAAATTAATCAAACTTATCTGTAAATAAATAGAATATTATTATAGTCCAAATTGAGAGTCTTTCTTATATCAAATTTTCAGTCTACTCACTAATAGCTATTTTAAATAAAACTAATATAATTTTCTGCCAAATGAAAAGTTATGCAAATATATAAGAATCTGAAAACATAATACGTAATGTACTAAAACTACTCAGTATATATTCGTAATAGATGCTTTTACAAATAAATCAACTCTAAGCTTTCTCAAAGCTTATTATGATAAAAATATTCAAATGATTGATAATAAATTTCAGCTACTTATAAGCAAATCTGTTGAGTACCTTTATGATCCAAATAGTAGAGCTGAAGCTATATGAATAGGATATGAAC